AAATCTCGAGAAAGCCGACTGGTATTCAAGATCAGATCGTCACCGATGAAAATGGAAGACGAAGGTGATCACCATTTTTATAATACAATCTGTAGATTTGTTCGATTTATTTATTTGAAACGCTGCATAAGGCACTCGTGGAGAACAACATAGATAAGTTCCTTTTTTTCATCTTCCTTTATGTGGAGCGCGACTGGTGTGAGGACTTGTTTTTTTCAACATTTCATCGTATCAGGCTCTTGACTTTCATGCCACAACTGGTCCAGCTTTCCTGGATTCGACTCGTTTGATTGTCATTGTCAGCGATGATTTATTGCATGGTTTCTAGGTTCCACGGTGCTTTCACGGGTGGTTTCTCGGCTGGATACTACAACACTGTGGGTACGAAAGAAGGTAAATATACTGTTTTCAGTCGTCTTTAGCATTAATCCACTTATAGATAGTTTGACGATTACTGTAGGAAAACGGTCGGCAAGAGATATCCTTTTCGGCTTCTACAGGTTTACTCTTTGCCGACTTTGCTCATTTGGATACACGATTGACCTTCTACCTGTTCGTAGCTTGCCGATATTGTTGACTCCATCGGGAGTTCTTTGACCCTACCGGCTTACTCAACAAATGGTCAGATATTCTCTGAAAGCCGACTTCTAATCGTACTTTCCAGGATGGACTCCACAGGAATTCAAGTCTTCACGGGATCAACGAGCAGTCAAATTTCAACAAAGAGCTGAGGACCTTATGGATGAGGAGGTTTGTTGTCTTTTAGTGCTACGCTCACCATTTACTTTTTTGGATTTTCATCACACGTTCTCGAACTCACATGGTATTGATTAGCTTCATAATTTTAGATGTTGTTACAGAATTTCTCGGAGTTTTGACTTATAGGACCTGGGAGAGTTCGGTATAGGCGCACGACGAATTCGTACAGCCGAAGATTTTGGATCGGGTCGATCGGCAGAAAAGCGAATGGCATGGGAGCATGATGTGACGAGCAGTTCCAGTACATCCTATGGCGATGCAACTGGAGAACATCATAAGACCCGTGAGGTAAGGGAAGCAGTTTTCAATGTTTTGAATTTTCTCCTAAAGTGGGAAAAATTTGATTGTCCCATCGTTCCCTACCGCTCGCAGTTATTCGTTTTGCTGTAGCAACAAAAATGCGTCGCTCCTGTGAATTTAGAAAAGTCGCCAGTTTGAGCTTGCGTCAAGCTGCGCTGCGAGTGGTTTTTATGTGATAAGATGAAACCTTTTTAGCGATTCGATCGGAAAACGAATGCTTCGATCAATGGGTTGGCGAGAGGGACGAGGTGTAGGATTGACGACGGCGAAGTCGAAAAGGAAATGTGAGTTGGGAGACATTGGAATAAGAGAAAATTCTCATCCTTCTCTCGCGCTATAGCAAGCTGGTGGATCGAACGTCGTTTACTCTTGGAAGTATGAGTTATGCATGACTAATGACAAGACTAAGAATTGTATGCACTCACCAGGAAGGTCTTTCAGGTTCTGCCGCGCGGTTTCAGGACGTTTTTTTTTATGAATTAGACAGGGTTACATGCATGGAACATTAAACTATTTAATTTTTTGAGTGGCCCTTTGTGAAATTAGGATGAAAGTTTGAGTCGTGATCCCGTGGAAAGAACTTGTCAAAAATTCGTGGCGCTCAACCCGTTTTTCGGCACTAACAGGTTGGACCGCGCATGTTTTACGTTTTGTGGCCGCGTGGACTTCAGTGAAATTTTTAGGAATCTTATCAAGCAAATTGGAAGAAAAACCTACTGTATGATGCAGAAGAAACCTTATCGAATGAAATGGAAAAGAAAATGAAAGAAAAACTAATATTTGTTTCCGAAATGTGAGCTGAAAGGTCCTACGCGGTTGACGGACTGCAGCCCACATATGGGCTGCATGGGCTCCAAGGTGTTAAATAATGTAAAGAGGCAAGATCAAGCAATGAAAAGGTAGAGGATAAATTGCATCCCTTAGCGTCGAATGTAATATCAAAGGATTAGCTAACTTCTTTCTTCTCTTCTTTCACAACTACCATATTTACTTCCAATTTTAGAGGCAATAGCTTACAGTTGTTCAATTGCGAATTTGCCCCCAGAAGTAATTTATTGCATGATGAAAAGTGACTGCATAACGATCATTAGAGAAAGGATATACCCCACTAGTGGGAGAGTAAGTATTACAGAAGCAACGTCAGCCGAGATAGACTTTTCGAGCGTACCGCAATCGAATTGCTTCCGTCATCAAACTGGTCGTAGAGTTGCGGATCAGTGATAAGTAGCATAAAATCACACGCACGACATGAATTTCAAATTCCGAATGAACTGAG